CTTTAACTTGCTAGTCCTTCGTTGGACAGATATTTTCATCCTAATATGCATTTCCAGGCTTTTACTGTTTATTCCTGTCCTGAGTTTCATTTATTTTTCTAAAGGAACTGGTGGTTAGTTTTTTCTTCTATAATTTTTCTCTTTATGTTGTCATCCATTTTTTACTTAAATTCTTACTATTTCACATTGACTTGAAGGATTTGTTAAAAACATTAACCTATAGATAGTAAATAATTTTGTTACATATTTAATCTTTTGTCCTTGTCATCTGTAAGTTTCTATGTTTATGTAATAATATATGTCAGACTAATGTTCAGGCAATTGTGATTTTTGTTGTGCTTACAAAGTTATGTCCACGGTAGGATTTTGAGGGTGTTTTCTTGTTTCTTATTATTTTACTTTTTAAGGTATTGTTTTAACACCTGGGTCTTCCATAATCTTACTGGATTGTTTTTACATTTGTGCATGCTGTGAACTGGGAAACTTTCTGAAATATGAGCTAATTTTTTAACCTCATTTAACCTCATCCATCTTCCCACTAATTAAATGTGCCAGCATTGTAATAAACAGGCTCTCCATTTTACAATGAGTCTTTCTGAACTTTCTCCCATTTGCTCAATCTTTTGATCTATTTTTGAAACAATACTACATTATAAATCACCATGGCATATTCTCTTATCTGCTGGGCTAGGGCAAGTCTTCCTTGTCTTATGTTTAGTTTTCCGGAAGACCTTGGAAATCGGCTAGTTTGGCCCCACCAAAAGTATGGTTGGAATTTTGATTAGGATTGCGATGCTAAATTTAGAGACCAGTTTCAGTAGAGTGGACTTCCATGTTTCCTGCGTCGTCCACCTGAGTTGGGGCTGGAGCTGTGCTGACACATGCACCTGTCTCCTGCTCCCCTCGTGGGCTAGATACTGAATGTTTAGGTAGACTTTTTTTTTTTTAATGTTAAGGAAGTGACTTTTTCCCTTAGTTTACTAAGAGTTTTGTGTTGAAATATATTTGAATCTTCATAAATGCCCTTCTAATCTATTGTTTCCTTTGATGTATCACTTTGATTTTATACACACACATACACACACCACAATTTTCCTTCCTTTTTCCTAATATATATATATTACTAGTCCTCATAGAATCATAAAATACGCTTCTCTGAGATAGCTGATTATTTTAATGACAGTTATGGTTTTCCTTGGTTGTGTGTGTCAGCTAGGCTTCGGTGGATATTTTGCTTGGGGTCTTATGTGGCTGCTGTAAATGTTGGCCAAGGCCGCAGTCATTTGAAAGCTTGACTGCTTCATATCCACCATGGTTTCCTTGTGTGTCTGAGCTGATATTGGCTGAGCAGTTGGTGATCAGCTGAACTGTTGACTGGCACTTCCTTGTGGCCTCTGCATGTGGCCTCAGCCCTCTCATCTATGGTGCCAAGGCTCAGAGAGAGCACTCAGGGCCAGCCTTTCAGGAAGACCAGAGCTAAACCTGCAAGCCTTCCTATGATGTAGCCTTAAGATTTCAGAAACTAAATGCCCACTGTATTCTGTGGGTAAACCAAGTAATTGAGTCCCGCATAGGTTAAAGAAGAAGAGAATTATGTTTCTGCTCTTTATCCCAAGAGCAGCGTGTGCAACAGGGGGGTTGTCATGGGTGGCAGCAGTCTTCAGAGACAATCTCCATAGTCCACATATATACCATGAGAAACGGACACTCGCTGTCCTCCCAGAATCCTCAGGGTCTCGTCTCGTTGCAGCATCAGGCTCATGTGCTCTGACTTCTCATCTGAGTCAGATCTAGTATGAATGAGCCTCTCTCTAGGGTGGGCCTCAAGTACAGTTCTCCATGGAGGAGTTGAAGAGGGAGGTTTTGCCTCTCACACACCTGGCGTTTAGTGGTGAACAGTGGTAGATAACTGTAGAAGATGCTTCTGTTCAAAGAAGGTGGGAATGGAAGGCCCCATCAGTCTGTGGTCCAGAGCAGTTGTGAAGTCCAGACAGATGTGAATTCCTTCCTTTTTCATAAAAATTAATCTGCTTTACAGTTGAAAAGCTCTCCTAGTCTACTACCTACCAGTAGAAAATTGGGGACCCAGATCGATCGATCGATCGATCTATCTATCTATCTATCTATCTATCTATCTATCTATCTATCTATCTATCTATCTCTGTCTCTCTCTCTCTCTTTTTATCTTTATTTGTTTATTAATTTTTTATGTGGTGCTGAGGATCGAACCCAGTACCTCACAAGTCGAGGCAAGCTCTCTACCGCTGAGCTATAACGCCAGCCCCTCTCTTTTTGTTTTGAACTATTTATAATGCCTTTAAAAAACCTTGTGGGCTTCCTGTGCTTCTAATTTCAATCTATTACTTTAGACAGAAACCACACTCATAAACCTCTTTAAGTCACTCTCCTTGCCACCATGGTCTGAAAGTCAGAGTGTCCAGGAACAACAATACACTTGGGTTCTTGAATGCCTTTCTTGTTGCTTCTTCTGCCATCTTGGAGCCTGCAGAAGCCTGCTGGGAACGGGACTTCTCATGGACAGGTATGGAAGGCTGGGGTGCAAGGCCATTTTTGCTGTCTGTAAGCAAGGAATTATGGAACCAAAGAGCACAGAGCTCTTCCTAATACTGAAGGTGTTTAGGCCTGAGATAAAAATGAATTATACTTGGGCAAGAAATATGCTTAAAGAAAAACACAGTGACTCTCAGTGACCAGCCGGACAAAACCAGAGTTATCTGGGCAAAGAGAACTCATGCCTGTGGTGTGGTTCATGCCAAAATCCAAAGCCACTCTTTGAAATGCTAGGGCCGCTTGAAAAGGAATCTGTGATGCGTGGTGCCATACTGTCTGAGGGTTTAAAGTAATGAAAAGTAAATAAAAGTGGATGGCGGGGGACTTCCTTTTGTAACAGATGGTTGACAGGCCATGCCCTGGAGATTGTTAGAAACTAGCTTTTACTGGAGAACTTCTGTGAAGGTGTGCCTTTTAAGTCTTGCTGAGGGATCATTGGAGATGACACTTGACTTCATCTTTACCTTGACTAAGAACATTTTGCTGACTAGAAGGGCCTTCCTATTTTTGTATATCCTCATTAAAACCTGAACACACATTTTACTTTCTGTCTGGGTCCGTACCTTGCGATGGCATCTGCAGGAAGCCGGCTAATGTTAACCTTAGGTGTGTTTCCTGTTCTCGGCTTCGCAGCTGCCTGCTTAGCCTTGCTCGGGCTCCGGCCAGCTCCCTCTCTGGCCTTCCTGCCTAAGCCCACATCTCCTGGGGCTGTTCTGCCTCTGAGCACAACCCAGTCCCCAACCCTGTGCTGCGTTTCATGTTTTTGTTACAGAAGCACCCCATTTCCAAAGTGCTTCACAGTCTGTTTTAATGATGTCACTAGATCAGAGCACAGTGGCTTTAAAACAGTGACTTGTATTACTGTGTTTCTGTGGCTTGGGAAGGTCAGCTGAATGGTCCTCTCTTTCTCCTGTGCCATTGGCTTATTCACTCACCGCCTGATGACTGGAGGCCCCCCTGCCTGGTGTCTGCCCCCCTTCCCTTCTCCTCCACAGTCTCACACTGCAGACCCCCACATGCAGTGGTCTCAGGAGCGTCACTTTTCTCTCATGACAATTAACCACCAAAAGAACAAGAAGTAGCAACTGCCAGGACAATTAGGGGCCGTGTGTGGAACTCACAGTATGTTTCTTATAGAAGACTGGCCCAGACTGAGGTGGACAGAGAAATAGACTGTCCCGTTGTGGGGAAGCAGGCAAACTTGCAGAAAACTTATGATGAGAGATGTTGTGACTAGGAAATGAGTGGTTTCTAGAAATTTAAGTTTGGTTTGTGAGCGCTTGGTGATCACATGTGCACACAGGTGTAATGATTGTGAGGTGTAATGATCATGGTTTGTTAACTTTGTACAGCATTTGAATTAGGAAATCGTCCTCCCTTTGTCCTTGTTCAAAGTTTGAAAAAAAAAAAAAACACAGTTTCATAAAATCACCTGAATTGCCTACATGAGAAGCTTTTAGTTTAGTCAAGTACACTAATTTTCATTTTCATTTCTCTGTATTGTATATGTTTAGAAGGTCCTTCCTGAATTGAGAACATTTGAATCCTTGGCCACAGTTCCTGTTTGGTATATATTTTGTTTTATTCTGTAGTCCATTGTCATAGTGTGGAGTGAAGGCAGAACTTCCTCACATTGTAGACTCATGATTTTATTGCACTGTATAGTGTTATATATTCTAAAATATGTTCCTGCTCTTTTCTATTGATATGTGAATTATTTTTCATACTGTTTATTATAACTCCAACCCAGATGTCTTAAGTTGGTGAAAGTCACTAAGTGTTCATACATCTAAATGTGGCTAAATGCCACCTAACCCACACCAAAGATGTGTGATTATGATTTTAGATTACTGAGGACATTTTTAGACTCCTGTTAAGAATTTGTTTTAATGTATATCTGAGCCAAGTATTTTTGTGCTAAATTTTGTTTTCTAGAATATAAGAATCAGTAGACACAGCAGATGTCAATAATTACAATTTTATGCTCGTAATTATAACTTTCAAATATGTAACTTGATGTGTGGATGTCTTTCACAAGTAAATGAATAAAGGCAGTAATTGATTGCATTTACCATGTAGCCAAGTAAACCAAAGCAGATAACTAGGGAAGAGTTTTCTTAATTTATGAAGTTACTTGAGCTAGCTGCAACTGCCTGTAACCAGCCTGTGCTCCCAGCAACCTAGGAGCCGGAGGCAGGACAGTCACAAGTTTAAGACCAACCTTTGTCACTTAGTGAGACACTGTCTCAACAAAAGTAGTGCTGGTCATATAGCTTCCTGGTAGAGTGCTCTTGGGCCCGTTATTTGAGAGTAGATCTAGTGAGATTTAATCATTCATCCATATCATTTAATTAATGACTTACTTTAAAATATACTCTTTAAATGACTTTTTTATCATTATTAATCTGGCTTTTTTCTTTTTTTTCCAGATACTGTTTTGTGTTTGCTTTGGGATACCTCACAGTGTGCCAAATCACTAGAGTCTATATCTTTGATTATGGACAATATTCTGCTGATTTTTCAGGGTAAGATTAAAACTTTGATTCAGCACTCCAATTTATCTTTTGTAACTCTTGGTTAAAATAAAACAAAATATAGTTGCATTTACTAGTTCCAGTGAAAAACTATCATTAAACATTTGAGTTCAAAATTCCTTTATGAATTTAGAATTTTTCTTATCATAGTTGGTTTCTTTATAATACGTTATGTCACAAAATATTATTCTAGATATATAACAATTTAATTTCTTACATAACATTCTGATATTGAAAGCATTTTCTAATTCTGATAGAGATTTCAGCAATAATTAATGATTCTGGAAATTTAGCCCCCTGGAGCCCATATTCTTGCTGCTTGCCCTCTCCCTCCCCCACCCGCTCACCCCCTTACCCCCTCTCCCCCTTCCCTCTCCCTTTCCCACTATCTCCACTCCACTTATCTGACATTAGTTTCAACAGTAGTGGAGGTGACTTCAGGTTTCCATTGCTGCAGAGGGGGTTCATTCCCTCCCTGGCCAGTTAGGTCTGTCCTGTTCTAGTAGCTGTTGGAGTTTCTGTTAAGACACCCTGCTGCACAGCCCTTGTCTCCTGATTCACTCCCCCTTCTACACAGGGGTGTCTTCATACACAGTGGGCCAGGTGGGGAGGGGGAGATTTTAAACCTCAGTGTTCTTTATGTCGGGCTCTACAGCTTTCTCCATGGACAGCATACAGAATATGCTAGGTCAGTCTTGAGTCATTGGACAGCACAATAATCAGTAATAGATCCAATTTAAGAATAAGTAAATTGGAAAAAAATTAGACAAAACAGGTTATAATACTTCTGGAGGAAAAAATTGCTCGACAATAGTAATGGGCCCAAATTGATGAAAAAAAAAATCACTTCTGTGAAACAGAAGATGACCCATCTTTTTCTCCCTAAAGAGACCAAGTGGGTTTTACTGTACAGATATAAAAGTAGTCTTGAATGAAAGTAAGGTTGCACGAGAAATAAAACCAAGTGAAAACAGAAGGATGCCATAAAAACCAATTAAACCCACTAACTAGCAATTTCACTCAAAATGAGTGAAATTGAGATGCATACCTAGAACGCAGAAAAGGAAAACAGACTGTCAATCTTCTTATGAGTAGTAGGTGTTCTCGAAGAAATTGAGCTGTGGCTGGGTGCAATGGCCATGGGTGTAACCCCAGCTGCTCTGGAGGCTGAGATAGGAGGATGGCAAGCTCAAGGATAGCCTGGGCAGCTTAGTGAAACCCTGTCCCAAAAAGGGGCTGGGGATGTAGCTCAGTGGTAGAGCACCCTTGTGGTCAGTCTTTAGTTTCACTGTGTGTGTGTGTGTGTGTGTGTGTGTGTATATATATGTGTGTGTGTGTATATACACATATGTATATGGATGAATGGATAGATAAATAGAAAGAAATTGAGCTCCTAAACAGAATCACATGTTGTCACATGTTGTCATCATAGTGTAATGAAGTTAGGAAGTATTTAAAAAGTATCACGGTCACTGCAAAAATTAACCTAAGAATAGTGATCATGTTGCCCTTGTTCATCTTATATCCTTAGTGTAGTAGCACACAATGGCATTAAATATTTAATTGAATTAGAAATAATACTTAAGGGAAAAAGTAGAAAATACAATAGGAAAGGGAAAAACCCAAATAGGGAAACATGAACCATGCAGACAAACTGAATCGAGAGGTGAATTCATAGCTTTGAATACTTGCATTGTAATAAATGAGAAATAAATTAGGCATTTAATATAAAATAGAAACAAAGAATTTTCTCAACTAATTTAGTTTATGAATGTTGAAAACAGAAATGTTAACATCAGCATCTAAGCTGACAGTGCCGTGCAATCATTACTTTTCCACCCCTGGAGTCCTAGGACTCCATGGTAAGTTCTGCAGGCAGTGCAAGAGGATAAGGAGCTAAGCCACTGAGGTTCTAGGTCTCCCAGTCTTGTTTCAACCCCAGTTAAGGTTTTGCTAAGTTAATATTTTAGGATTCTACATATTTCATTAAGAAGTCTTTTCTTTATTTTTTAAAACCACCAGATATAAAAGTAATTTAGTATAATCCAGTTGAATTTGATCATACAACCAAGTGGGTTGATGCTAATACAGCTTTGTGTGACCAGTCCAGTGAGACCCTTACTACCTTTTCTTCAGTTTGAAATTAGTCATTAGCCTTTTCATTTGTCTCATCTGCTGCTCCAAACTCTTTTCATTCTCTAGTCCTCCACCTAACATCTCACCGTATTAGCTAGTGATAGGCTACCTGCTGTTACACAGTCACATAACTTCAGTGGAATAACATAAGACTTTACTTCTCATTCACGTTACAGTTCACTGAGGATGACGCTTCCATTCCACACAATAACTTAGGGGACCAGGCCCTTTCTTTCTTGTATTTCCACCTCCTTCAGGCTCTCTGGCAACTTCTTCTAAGTTGATGGGGCAGGTGGTGTCTTTGCACAAGGTATGTACACATACAATTCAGGATATGTTTAAAACATTAATTAGATAATAGGAACTTTTTAAAAAAATATATTATTGTAGTTGTCAGTGGACCTTTACTTTTTGTTTACATGTGGTGCTGAGAATCGAACCCAGTGCGTCACACATGCTAGGTAAGCGCTGTACCACTGAGCTACAACCCCAGCCCAAGAGGAACTCTTTTTTAAAAGATACTTTTTAGTTGTAGATGGCCACAATAACTTTATTTATTTTTTGATGTGGTGCCGAGGATCGAACTCAGTGCCTCACATATGCTAGGTAAGTGCTCTACCCCTGAGCTACAACCCCAGCCCCTAAAATGGTCTGTTAATAGAAGTTTCTATTTATGGAAAGATTGAAAGCTGAAATTGTTAGAGCTTAGATTAGCCTTAGAAAATAGATACAAGAGCTGGGTACTGTGGCACATGCCTGTAATCCTAGCGGTTGGGGAGGCTGAGGCAGGAGGATCATAAGTTCAAGGCCAGCCTCAGCAAAAGCAAGGCACTTAGCAACTCAGTGAGACTCTAAATAAAAATACAAAAAATAGGACTGGGGATGTGGCTCATTGTGAGTTCAATTCCCAGTACCAAAAGAAAAAGAAAATAGATACAAGAGAAATATAAAACAACAAAATAGTTTTCCTTTATACCAACAATAATCAATTAGAAAACACAGAAGTTTCAGAAGCAGTAAAAACTATGAAATATCTAGGAATACATGTTTTAAAAAATGAGCAGGATTTCTGTGTGAAAACTAAAACTTTTATTCTAGGACATTGAATACTAACTTGAGAATCATTCATTCATAAGAATAGTAAAATTCAGTTTTGTAAGGATGGTAATTTTCCTGTTGTTAACCTGACACTGAATGTGGTAAAAATTGGGGTTTTGATAGAGATAAGATAAAGTGATTGAAAAGTTTGTCTGGAAGGTTAAATTCTTGAGAGTAGTAAACTCAGTATAAAGATTGCTACTGTCTATAAAATAAGAATCATTAAGCCAGGTGCAGTGGTACACACCTGTAATCCCAGTGACCTGAAGAGGAGACAGGTGCATGGTATGTTCAAGGTCAAGAACTTGTCTTAAAGTAAAAAGGACTGGGGGTGTAGCTCAGGGGTAGAATACCCCTGGGTTCAATCCCCAATAACCCCCCTTCCAAAAGGTCATTAAAATACTATGGAACTGACATAGGAGTAGACAAATCAAGAAAGCCAGGGTAGAGGACCTAGAAGGAGAGACCCCAGGGATTTAAGAATAAAAATACCGAATAGCAATGGTGGGATCAAAACCAGTGGGCAAGCCTGGCCCATTTCTTCAGCACCAGGACATCAGGAGGAGGAGGAGGGAAAGGCAGATCCTTACCTCACATGGAGACTGACAAATTGTAGATGGAGGCAAGAGCAGTTTTTCTGGCAGAAGGATAATGAATTCTGATTGAAATATGTTGATTTTTGTGATGCCAAAGAGATTTTTTAATATGTCTACCAAAAAAAGCTATGTGTGACATAATTTTCCATTCAAATCCAGACTCTGTCTCAGCAGAGCAGACGGAAGCAGATGCTCAGTAAGCTACTCGCTGTGGCTTAGCTGGGCCTGTCCTTGGTGGGGGTGGTGTGCCTTCTGGTAGGTGCTTTTGTAGGTGACAGTTCTGTTAAGCACATGCAATGACAGGCCCTGGTTCCAGAACTGCAGATGTGATTTGTCCCCTTCATTACTCTCTTCAGCTGTATTTAAATGCAGAGTCTAAGTTTAGGGATCTCTTCGCCTTCTGTGAAAGGAGGACAAAGGCCCTTGCTGCTCTTTGTGACCCTCCTCTGCCTCGCAGTGCACCCAGAAGCAGCTGTAAATGGGGTGACTAAATTATTCAAGTGCTCACAAGGCATGGTGTTCCACCTGTCCTGGTTCATCCTGTGGGAGTATCTCCCAACCCCTTGACCTACATTTGTCTACAGGAACCATCCTGTCTAGCTGCTGCTAATAGGGCTCAGGTGACTGTGGGTGAAGAGAGACAACCTGTTTATCATTTGTCTGTCCCCCACCCATGCCTGGGCTTTTCCTCTGAGTTTATGGCTGTTACAAGGCAATGCAGCATAACCTCTATCAGAAACATACGTGCTGAGGGGACCAGGGGCTGAAATGGAGTATCAAATTCCTTGCATGTATAGTTTTGTCAAAATGAACCCAACTTCTATGTATAACTATAATGCTCTAATTAAAAAAAAAAAAATAAACACAGTGCTTCTTAACACAGGCCTACAGAGCCCCTCACAGCTTTTCAGGTCTGTCTCTCCTGTTCTTTCTTTGGCAGTACTTTTGTTCACCCTGTTCTCTGCTTGGAACAGCTTTCCAACCATATCTGCCTGTCAAAACCTCCCAAATCTTAAAGGACTGAATTAAATAACTTATTTGAGATATTTCCCCCTTGGCTCTGTGGGTGTGAAGTTTCTCTCACCTCTGCACATTTGTTGTGCTTTTCACTTGACACTTGTTTATGTAGTTACAGTAGCCCCTTTACCCGTAGGAGGCACC